TTCCCAAGATATTCCTTCTTCTGCGCTCAGCTCCTGGTACCACCAGATACCAGTTGCCTGCCTTTGCTTGGTTCTCCCTGCTCCTCAGCCTAGCCTGGGTTAACTGGTGCAGCAGACTCTTTAGGAGAGGGATATTGGGCTGGATTTTCCAGCCCTGGGGAGTTACAGTACAGTGCTATGACTGCAGCCATTTTTCAGACCCAGACACAGAGGAGACAACCTAGGACAACAGATTCAGAACATGTCCTGCTACTTTGTCTTGGGCTGAGCCTTAAAGTCAATCTGTGAAGCAACAAAAACTGCATAGAGTGTTCTCCTTGCAGGTTGCTTTTTTGGGCTCTTGAAGAGCTTTACTGCTGGTAGGTTGGACAAAGACACAGACCCAGTGTGGAGCCCCAAACAGCATATGCCCCAGGGACTGATGGCCTGTACCTGCTCCGAGTTCTCGGGGTACAGCTGCAGCACAGCTCGGGATCCTCGGGCCTACAAAGAAGTAAAGTTGGTCACACACCTATCCCAGTGCAGGTCACCCGATCCCTGCGTCAGACATGAGCTCACACCTCCCCAAAGCCTCCAGGATGAGGCTCCCAGGATCACTCCTCAGCCTGCAGAGCCAGCGAGGCACAGTAGTAATCACAGAGTCATGGGATCATTAAGGCTGGAACAGACCACCAAGATCATCAAGTCCAACCTTGATGAGTGGCACCGGGCAGCAGAGGTAGGCAGTGGGTGCTTGTGCCAGTCCTGCTTCAGGGTGGCATTTATTTAAAGCACCTGAGCTAAAATGTCTTGCTACAGGGCACCAGTGGGGATATAAGAGCAGGCAGGGGCTTGGCAGGGGACAGAGTGTGGCACCTACCAGAGCAGTGTAGAGAGTGGAGAAGAATCTGTAGAGGCGTTTTGGAGGGCTGTGTGATTTCTTGTCAGCATTACAGAGCCACTGCACTGCAGAAATACTGAGGAGGAAAACAAGACCCCCAGGACACTGAGTCATCATCACAGAGTCTGTCATCTCTGAGCTGAATTCCAGCACTAAGCATCTGTTGGGCCTCAGGGAAGTGATTTAATTTTCTCCATGTAGCTTTGCCTTGTGTTTTGCAGTTACACAAACCCCGCTGGAGACTCACTATGCCAAAACCCAACAAGGTGCAAAAGTTATTCAAGTCTCAGAGCATCACCAAGCATCCTCTTCAGGCCAGGTGCTCAAATCATGGAATGGGGGAATGGTTTGGATTGGGAGGGACCTTAAAGACCATCCAGTTCCACCCCCTGCCATGGACAGGGACACCTTCCACCAGCCCAGGTTGCTCCAAGCCCCATCCAACCTGGCCTGGAACACTCCCAGGCATGGAGCAGCCACAGCTTCCCTGGGCAACCTGTGCCAGTGCCTCAGCACCCTCACAGGGAAGAATCCCTTCACAATACCTAACCTAAATGTCCAATCTTTCAGTTTGAACCCATCACTCCTTCCTATCATTACAGTTCCTGATGTTAATTCAAGAGCTCAGCTGTAACCCTTCCCTGGCCAAAAAGGTTTTCCCAATGAGCAATGCCTTTTGGGTCAGCAATGGACAGTCCCTGCTCCTTCCCAGCACCTGAGCTATTCTCTAAGCAGAAAAATGCTTGTCCCCTTCATCCCAAAACTGACCACTGAACCCTTGATCTAGGGACTGACCTTGCTGTGCAATGCTACAGACATACTTTGTTCTCCTTGGTGCAGGTCTCAGCCCTCATGAAAATATCCCCAATTTTATTTAATTTCCTTCAACAAAAATTACTAGCTCACCAGTACAAAAGGACAAGCACCACTTGGAAAACAGCTGTCAGGAGATGCTTCTACCACCCAAAATCTTGGCAGCTTGTCCCAGAGTGATGGAGCCAAGTTGCATGGAGCAAAGAGAGAGGCTGACAAGGTCCGTCCTGCTCACCTGTGATGCACCACATGTACTGTGCTGTTCTGTGGAGCACCAGGAGAGCTCAGTTAGGTGCACAGACTCACCTGATACAGCCATCAAACATGCCAGGCCTGAAGGGAATGCCATGACCCACGTCTGCAAGGAGAAGGTCTCCTTCCACCTCCCTCTCCACGGCCACATCTGCACAGACAGAGCAGAGCTCAGACAACCAGCTCACACCTTTGGGCACTTCTGAGGCGAGGTGAGGTGGCCAGAGAACAGCGTGTGCTCACCCAGCATGGCAGGGCTGATGTCCATGCCAATCCAGTAGTGTCCCTCCTCAGAGATGTAATCCCCGCTCAGCCCTGACCCACAGCTGCAGGAAGCAAGGGCTGAGCACAGCGATCGCAGGGCTGGTCCGAGAGTGCTGCTGGGCAGACACAGCCCCACAGCAGCCCATCCCTGTAGTTCAGCCCCCCAGACACCCCACTGCCATGGGCCTGGCTGCCCCTCGCCCCCAGCACTGGGCAGA